TGCATGATATGTTGTGTGGAATTTTATCATCTGAAATATGAGATTCGAAATAAATTTCCAAAACAGCTAGAATATGGATTTTCTTAATTTTTGCACACCATTCCATTTCCCTCCTCAAATGGAATATTGACAGAAATTTTACTACTAGATGGATGAACGGCGCGTTTTGCTAGTACCGCTATCTCATCTTCCGCTTTTTTACGTCAAAGATCGAGCAACAGCTGACAATCGCACAGCTCATGAGAAAACACAATCGACGCACATGCGCTGCTTTGAAACGAACGTTATGACAACATGCTTCAACGAGATAAAAGGCTTCTTCAGCGTAGAAATAGAAATTTTCTCGCTTATTCGTTACTTGTTCAAATGTTAAGAGAGGTGCCGAGAAGAAGAGACAAACAGGAAAGGCACATCAAACCATTTTGAATAATTCAATAGCAGAAAATGCAACTTTCTGATGAGATTTTGTTTGTGAGTGGAAATCAATTCAGTCGCATTAGCTCTGGAAAAAGGGTTGCGACAAAATGAAGCAAGGTAATTTGGCAGCAATTTAGCAAGTTCATTTCCTATAAAAATATTAAAATAAAACAATGTTTGAGTAATCAGGTATATGTCGGATTTTTATACACAGATGTAACCTTTGACATCCTTGATAACTTTTTGGGATGGGAAATATGCCTTAAAATGTCACTACACTGCTTGTTATTTAGGAGTCAATTAGAATGACAGTATCTACAGATATCACTTTGATGGAAATAAAATTCGTTCAACTTGTAACGTTAACGTAAAATCAACTATAATTAACTTTAAACTAAATTAAAACACGGTGTGGATTTCTTATTACTGCAAGCAATGCGAAGATATCGGGGATCCATAGTTAATCACCCTACCATAAACTTGAGTTAAACTTCGCATAATTTCAATGAAATCTGACAAACCTTGTTACCAAATTCCGAATGAGGATTTTCGAAACATTGCAGAATAATATCACGTCCTTGAGAGCTGATTGGATGCGCCAAATCTTTTCGCAATGATCTCGCTCTGGATAAGCCATTTACTGTGCTGAAAATGAACCATAAATTAATTTTCTCGATTGCAGCATTATAATTAACCTAATAGTGATTGGTTTATACACCTTCATACTCATAAACAACCCTGCTTTCTCAAGTTTTCTTATCCCACGGGAGATGCATCCTCTGACAATGCGTCGTCAGTTCGCAATCTGCGTCTCAACAGCTGTCTACTTCATAAACGAAAAAAAAAACCCCTGAAATTTTGCCAAGCTCTGGATTCATGCTGCAAAACAGCTATAAGGAGAAGAGCTTTTGGGAGGTCCTAAATTGTATAGAGAAACAATATTGAGATTTTTAGAAGAATCAGCAACCATAGGTATTGAGCCGCTCACGCTGGTTAGATTTATTTCGAGAAACCATTGAAGAATGGAAACATTTTGACTGTTGCGTGCTTTTCAATTTTTTTTCTTTTCAATTTTCACTTTTCTTTTCAACTTTTCAGTTCTCGCAAATTCGAGATCAATTCGCATGAAATGGACCACTAGCGTTTTATCTCATTTTAAATAGTGCCTACAATCTGATAAAAATT